CCCACTCCTTATATAACCAGCCGTCATTCTGTCAGTCCAACGGCTTGCTCTCACTTGTTTTAAAAGTCAAAGGAAGTGGTACTGAAGGAGTGTGGGTTCTCTAGTGGTTGGGTATACTTAAAGATGTAAACACCAGTATTAATTCAGAGGGATTACGACTAGTTTCATTTCCTCGTAAATTATCCTCCTTGCATTCTGCGTTGCGCGTTTGATTTAGTGGAAGTCGACTCAGCTGTGAGATTGCGGTTTGACCTTGTGGATCCACTGTGTTTAGGCTTAATTACCCATCAGTCTTCAGTGCTAGAATGTGATTGGCATAATTTTGGAAAGCAGTGAAATTGCTTCACTCACAAGAGAGAGACAGACTATGGAAAATAGAGATAGCCTATTGTGAAGAGGTGGAAATGAAACGATTTTTAATTAAGCGATTTTGTGATCTTATTGTGAATTTGCGCAATGTCCAATAAAACACAAGTATCCAACCCAATCTCATGATAAAACCTGACTATTTTATGAGGTGGCGATTTCATATTATTTCGTACAATGTGATTAAAACGGACATGTATGATTTTAGAAAAAAACCTAACCGCTAACAGCAGGTCATATATAAATTCATATAAAATAGGCAGTTATTTGCCAAAACAGTAAAATTATGGAAGACTGTTTCCACCACAAGATAAAAAGGTCACTTATTATCTTACCATTCCGACTTTTTTTCACACAAGTCAGGGTTTATATTTCATAATTATTACTTTTCTTGTGCAACTCTGAAAATAAAAATGTAAGAATTACAAGATATAAACTCTGAATTGCAATTCTGAAATGAGAAGTCAGATTGTGAGATACAAGCTCGCAATTATGAGGAAATGTCAGAATTGTTAGAAAAAGTTAAAATGACTTTTTTTCAATTTATTCATTCTATAGCAGAACCAAAAAAGTCAGAATTGCAAGATATAACTGATACACCCAGAGCATAAACACACAGAAACACAGTGTTTACAAAACCTCATCTCTGATGAAACCAATGTAATCTTGGAGAAGTCCCCATATAGAGAAAAGGCCTAGAAATGAAAGCGTCATTATGTTTCGATCATATAAGCCAGATTCCTTGAACCTTGCCCATAAACAAGCTTTGAATCATGCAATCGGATTGTGTTGTCTCCTGTACAGTTGTCTCTTTAAACGCACAAATAATGCATTTGGACATTCTTGAGCGTCTTAAATTGTTCAACAAGAGTGGCCTTTTGTGCACTTCTACCACAAAAGATGGAACACAAACAATGATGTAACTACTGTATAAAAAACTGGAACATTGTGTATAACGCTGTTATCTTTAACTGTACTCTTGTGGCTTTCTGCTGTGCACAAGGAAGATTGGCTTGTGCAAAGATTTGTTTAGCTTATTATGTGTGATAACGTCAGTCTAACCGTTCAATTAAGTGTCAATCAGGAGGATTTTAATAGGAGTAGAAATTTTCATCAATTGTAAAATCACATAAATTTGCATAAAGGAACTGTGAGCGCAGTGTTTTTCCAGAGAAAAGATGCTTCTCTCTTAGAAGAATGACATAAATGACTTAATTGTATAGCCATGAAAAGATTATGTGATGTGCATTTGTGCCAAATGTAGCGTCTGGACCACTCAAACACACAATATATATTTTGTTTTTATATTTAACAAATACTCTGTAACCCCCCTCAGTTAACAAGCCATATGAGGACCCATGAACCCTTCCCCCCGAAATGCGTAACACCCCAGGAAGCCGAACAGGCTCCTGGTTGCATGGCAACCAACGCTGATATCACTGGGTTTATTGGCCAAAAGAATGCAAAGCAGGGAAAAGCCCTGCATGTCCCAGGGCAAGAGGCAGAGTAGAAATGGACTTTTCTACTAATTAATTCATAGGAAAACCTTTCTTTGAATGAACACACATCATCCTTCAGGTCATTGGGTATATTATTGTCATCATGTATTTGGTCTTTGAAATTGTATACTGTTATGCAGACTTATAATCGAAACACCCTCCTGTCAGCTTACATATATATATCTCCACCATGTTTAGTATCTATGAATTCGCCTTCTGATGATCGAAACGAGCGTGTATATTATATGTTGGTACATAGGCAATATATTAGTGTCCTGAGAATCTTTAGTAATTTCGATTCAAGTTCCATTTGCAAATTACCATGCCCTCACACAAAGGGTCATAAAAACTCCCCAGTATCTCAAAACTCCCACTTGGGATACCGGCCTTTCTCATTGGACAAGCCCATCTTGAGAGGCGGGGATCTTCTCCGACCTTAAAGGCCCACACCAGGGACCCTCCCCAGTCGGTGGTTTGTTGGAATTCTGAGAGGATGTGAGAAAAACGCACCCGGAAACCCTAAGCTCGTGCCAGGCTTCGGCCTTGTCTTTCCATTCATCAAGTTACTCTGACGCAAACTGGTTCTTTTCATCAACCAACTTCAGCAAGATCCACATGAACTTTCAGATTGCATCAAGCCTTTCTTTCAGACAGACGGGACATGCAAGTATCCAAACTTAGTCTTATTAATTGATACATGAGGTATCATCGGCACCTTTTTACAAAGGTGTGTTTGAACTAAGAATCTGACGTTTCCCTCAGGTGTAGATCTGCTGAATATGCAAATGTTTCCATAACTTCATTCCTTATTTCTCTTCTCTGTACTGAGTTAAGCTTTAACCCTTTCCTATACAAACTGTGTGTGTGAGTGTGTGTGTGTGTGTGTGTATGTGTATGTTAGACCAGTTTAAGTGTTTATGTGTATGTTAGACTAGTTTAAGTGTTTATGTAGTTAATAAAACCTTACTTGTATCACACTTGACGTTGTTCATTGTTTGCTAATAACTGGAGTCACTTAATCATGCAGATTTATGCTACAAGCTTTTGTAAAATTGTACAGTAAGAAAGTTATTTCCCTTAACCAGGAAATTAACGTTCTTAGAATTGACAAGACAGTTGACCCTGAGAGGTCAAGTAAATATCTACAGCGGATCTAAAATATTCATAATTATAACTAGTTATGATTAATTATTCATATTTCCCATGAGCTGATTCGTTACACAAAACATCTTTACTACCGAGATATACTTATTAAATCAATGTAAAGATGATATATTATGGTAGCTGTAGTTCTTTTTTTATTTTACACTGGACAATGCATTTTATTCATACATACAAGGTGATTTCTAAATTTCTAGATTTGTACACATTAAATGGACAATATTAACATGTATGAGCACAACACAGATCATCAGAACCTCTGACCCACAGGGTCATCCTGAAAACCATTAAAATAATCAGATTTATTGCTTTAATAAAATATTCTCTGGTTTGTTTACAGAAACAAACTAAATATAAAATTAAATAAAACAGTCTTCATGCTTTTTCCTATTTGCTTATCATGCCTTGTAAAATGACTCTGGACTCTACAAAGGCGCTATAAAAACAATTTTTAAAAAAAAGTCTATGCATGATCACTAAAATGAGGTATTAAATATATCTTAAATATTTATCAAGGACAAACAAAATAATATTTATGTCATAATCCAAGTAAAATTTCAGATGTAGATTTTCAGTATGATTTGTATACTGTATATGGGCAATTGCTACTGGGGATGAAGGAAAACAGAGATATACTAAGCATAGTGTGAAAAAAAATCCCATTTGTAGCCACAACTTCAAAGCAACCTTAATGAGAACTTTTTTCTTCAACATACAGTAAGTCTATAACATTCTAAACAATTAACAGATGTTTCTGAAGTGTCAAAATTGCTCCCTCCTAAACTAAATCAAAGTCACAAAAACCGCAGCATAAACAGCAAAGCACTAAAATGCCAGATGTGCGATGAGAGATTAATATGTACTTGTCATGTATACAAACAGCTCTACATAAACAGCTCTTCATTTATGTAAAACGCACCTGTGTGCTTTCATTCCTGGAATCATTTTGAGTACGCATATATTGCAAACCTTGAAGCTTTGACAAAAATTTAATTATATGAACTGTTTTTCTCCACAGCTTCTATATAGTCCATAGAATGAAACAGGTTTCCTCTGTCCTTCAAGACTGTTGTCATAGCAAAACACTGGCTGTCCAAAGACATACTTGGAAGATTTGGTCTTCCTTAGTCATAAATATCAGCAGTACTCAACCTTTTTGACGCCAAGGTCGCCCATTGTCCACAGCAATATTCAAAGGCCCCAAGACTTTTTACTAAAACTAAGACTTTATATCCAGTTTTTCTTAAATGTTTTACTCAATTTCTAGCTGATAAAATAATTATTTCATGGCATTTTAAGCATTTACTAATTTCCATTAATTTAGTTTTCCAGGTCTAGAAATAACACTTTTAAAATAGCCTCATATATCCATGTTTTCCAAGACTGTAGGAATCCTGGTTTTTCAATTAAAAAGATGTTGAGGGGGTCAAAAGAACAGTATCTTGGTTTTAAATCTTTTGAAATCATCTTGAGACACCCTTGTAAGTTTGCTGAGGCCTCCTGGTTGAGAACCACTGCTGTATATGGATTCCATCAATAAAATATGTGGTTTCTCAATAAACACAGTAGCATACCTAGTACACAAACCCCCTATCATCATGTTTTTCAGATGCGCTCATGAAAAAGTATGAGTTAATAATGTTCTCACACGCATCTAGTTAAAGGATAGTTCACCCAAAAATAAAAATTTACTCACCTTTACATGGTTCCAAACCTGTGTGACTTTCTTCAGTAAAAAACAAAAGAAGATATTTTGAAGAATGTCTATAAGATCATTCTTCACAATAAAGTAAATGGGATCCAATGCATTTTGGACCTCCAATCCAATTGTTTCGGACCTCAGTTTCTCATTGTATGGAGAAAAAGAGTTCAAAAAATTTAAAATACCTTCTTTTGTGTTCTACACCAGAAAGTTGTACAAGTTGAAACGACAATAGAGTGAGTAAATTATGACAGAATTCTCATTTTTGGGTGAGCTATTCCTTTAATGAAGTACATGAAGAATAATCACTAGTGTACAGTATGGTTGAGGCTGTGAGAGTCCAGACTTTTCCATTCCTGACAGATCAGCACACATGTTCAGGTCGAGTCCTCAGTTGCATGATCACAAGCTTCCAGTGTAATTAAGGACTCTTTGTCCAGTTAACGGTCAGTAATACTCTCTCATGCCAGACAAAGAAGTCTTTGGGCTCTGACTACGCAAGCGTTGGGCCCGAAGTGAAATCCTGCCCAGTCTGTCGATCTCCTGCTGGCTGCCGAAGGGGTGCGTGTCCTCCCAGACACGCGGACGCTCCTCCCAGGCCAGTAGGGGAGGGTGAGAGAGCAGGTACTGGCTGGAGTGATGATAGTCGGGTCTGGATTGGCCCTTGCTAAAACCCAGCGGGTGAACAGTAGAGGCGTTGTCGTAGTGATCAGGGTGACGGTATTCTTCATATACAGGCGAGTTGTTGTCGTCCAGGGTTAGGGACGTGCGGAAATCTCTCTGGCCCTGGTATCGTCGTAACGGGTAGCCAGTCTGCAGCGATAGAGTGCTGCCATCCAACCGCACGCTGCCGCCCAGGCGGATAGGGGTGCCGCCTAGCCGTGTAGGGGTCAGGGGAGGTGGAGGAGCAGGAAGGGGTGGAGGAGGTGGTGTAGGGGTCTGGTCTCGAGGTGGTGATTCCAGTCCTGGGAGACACGTGTCAAGCCACTCCGAGGTTTGCCATTGGTAGGCTGGAAAATACATGCAGAGTATCAGAAAGTGCCTGAGCATATGCAACTTTCACTTAATGCGGATTTATATATGTCACGTGTAAAAGACTTTATGACTTTATATATTTATACATTTTTACACAATTTCAGCAGCCATTACTCCAGTCTTCAGCATCACATGACCCTTCAGAAATCATTCTAATATGCAGATTTTGTGCTCAAGAAACATCAATGTTGAAAACAGTTTTTTCTGCTTAACTTGTACTTGTGTTGTTGTTGTTTTTTATACTAGATCTTTATTGTACTGTATTATTATTATTAGCTACTTTTATTTATTATTATTATTATTTGTGACCCTGGACCACAAAACCAGACCAGGTATATTTGTAGCAATAGACAACAATACATTATTATGGGTCAAAATTATCGATTTTTCTTTTATGCCAAAAATCATTAGGATATTAAGTAAAGATCATGTTCCATGAAGATGTTTTGTAAATTTCCTACTGTAAATATATTAAAACTTAATTTTGATTAGTAATATGCATTGCTAAGAACTGCATTTGGACAACTTTAAAGGCGCTTTTTCTCAATATTTTGATTTTTTTTCACCCTCAGATTCCAGATTTTCAAATAGTTGTATCTCGGCCAAATATTGTCCTATCCTAACAAACCATACATCACTGGAAAGCTTATTTATTCAGCTTCCAGATGATGTATAAATCCCAATTTCAAAAAATGGACCCTTATGACTGGTTTTGTGGTCCAGGGTCACATTTATTTATTTAACTTTTTAAGAAGTTAATACTTAATTATTAATTATTCAGCAAAGACACATTAAATTGATCAAAAACGTATCACATTATCCACAAAAAACAATAAGAATAATAAGAACTATTAACAATTGAGCACTTGAGCTTACTTGAGTTGATCTCAAGTGAGCTTTAAATAGAAAATAAAATTAAAAATGTACTATGAATTATATATATATATATATTTTTTTTTTTTTCTTTCTTTCTTTTCTGTGAGTTGTTTTCTTGAATTTGTTTCAAGTGAGTAGAAAATGCAAACTGTCATGGAACCTTGATATTGAAATACACAAGTTCTCTAGTTTAGTACAGTTAATGAAGATATAAGCTCTTACAATTCATAAAATACTCTTTGATGAATTCCACGCATATCTCATCCTCACAGTGGAGGTGTGGGCTTGCTGTGTAGAGACATAAAATGGAAAATGTTTCAGGGGGAGCGTTTTAATGAGTTATGAGATGGAAACAAATAAACAAGAGCCAAATCAAAAACAAAACAGTCAGAACAATCAACCTGTTCATGCTTGATGAAATATTAAAGATGGAATGTTTTAATATGGGATGCGTGTAAAGGTTTAGAAATATGTCTGACCAAGTGAAAAAGAGGAACAGATATTAAAGTAAAATGGAACAATAAACCAAACATAAAGAGGACTCACAGAGGGTACTGTGAGGCTGCACGTCGCCCAGACCTGCAACTGTTAGGAGAAGAGGAAAACACATCATGTATCACTGCTTATGTTTAGCTTGTTTAATGTGACCTACTCAACATCCTTGTTGTATAAACATGTTGTATAAATGAATCCGATTTTAGCAGTACATAACTACTGAAAATTATGATTACTCAATCATTTCCCCTCTTTTTGTACGTAAGGGTTAAGTTTAATAGTAATTAGTTAAATTAAAATGTTTTATTTGAATTCAAAAATTATAACTAATTCATATTTGATTAATAATAAAAGTATATTTTAATCTATTTAAAATTAATATTAACATGCATTTGTAAGATATAAATTGCATTAAATGTATACATTTAAAATACATATGTTGTTTATATTAATTATTATATTATTTTAATTAAATAGTAATGAATATATTATTAAATAAATATTATTACATAAATATTAAATAAATAAAAATATTTAACAACTGAAATATAACAAAGAAACAGTTGAAAATGTATACATTTTAATAAGAGTAAATGATTAAAATTAAAATGTTTAATTCAACTAAAAATAAATAATTACTATTTGATCATTTTTTTAAAATATTAAAAAATGTATATCAAAATTAGATTTAAAAAAATTATATTTGTAAATACATTTAAAATACACATGCAGATTATATATTATTTAATATCACTTAAATCAGCCTGACTACATTAGGTTAGACCAGTTATTTAGAAATAGTAATGAATATAATAGCAATAAATAGAATAAACAGTAAGAGTTATTAAGAGGCAATTAATTAAATAAATTAAAAAGTATTTTTCTAAATTTAAATGAATTTATAATAAAAATATTAGCTAACTAATACTTAATTAATATAAAATATATTTAAATGTATTATATTTATATAATATAGTTATAAAGTTATATTATATTTAAAATGAATTTATTTAAATTTATTATTAAAATAATATTTTAAAATATATTTGTAAGATATAAATTGTATTAAATGTATACATTTAAAATACATATACACATACTTATTATAACTTAAATCAACCTGACTGCATTAGGTTACACGAAAGTTATTTAGAAATAGTAATTAATACAATAGTAATAAATAAGATAATAAATAGAAATGAGTAATAACAGAAATATTTTCTCAAGGCAACAACTGAAAGTTTACTCATTTTAAAGTTTAAGAATGTTGGTCCAAGACCCAAAAAAGTTGTTGATCCAGGAACATGTCCTACTTGGATAAATCACATTGTGCTGTTTAGCATAACCAACAAAAACAGTCCACTTTCATCCAGACCTCTGAGAAAGAAGATGGAGCTGAGAACTCCTCAGACAGCAAAAATTACCATAGCGTGTGAGACTTTCAAGCAAACAGCTTGTTTTCGCACTGATTGGAAACAGCTTTGGTCTAGGGCAGGTTTAATTAGAGACTGGTTCTGGTGCGCCTCAAAAACAGGTCACTGTAGCTGAGCCACGGAGTACAGGGATGCTGTTCTTCACTAACTAATGGCTAGTTAAATAGTTCAGACTCTAATCCTACTTTGTCCAGCGTGGACTGAAATCCTGCATGAATGGACACTTCAGTTCCTGCGCTCTGGGATTTCACCTTTACCTTTTCATGCAGCGTGGTTTATCCCTCTAACATTTAAACTGAATAATACTATAAAATATTACTACACGGCACTCTATTTGACTCTACAGCTCTATACTTCATTCTGTCAGTTGCAGCATTCTATGGTCAGTTTTTCTTCTATAATGATGCTAAACGGTGTAATTGACTGTTGTATCCAGGCAACCGATTTCCTTGCAGTGCTGGATGTCTGTAGTATCACTCTATACTGTACCTTTCTTTCTTCTGACACAATAAAATACTTTCACCTCAAATCAATGTTTCACATCCATTTATTTATTTATTTGCCTAGAAGCCATCTAATAAGCAGGAAGTTCTGTTTCGCATCGGTGTCCTGATGACTTGTTGGGTTTATTTTGCAATGATGCCAACAATATTTCTAAATAATACACTATAACATGATAATATTTCTAAAATTATTATTAAATATATTTTAATTAAAAATGAAATAAAACTAAGAATAAAGAATATTTGGTAACAGTTAACAATAAGGTTTCATTTGTTGACACTAGTTAACACCAGTAACATGAATTAACAATTAAAGTTGATTAACGTAATTTCAACATTTAAAAATACATTAATAAAATCAAAAGTTGCATAATATAGAAACACAAAAAAAGAATTATTTTCATATATAATATCACAAAAATAATTTAAAAAGTAATAATAAAAATAAGGAATAATTTGTTAAATCATTTTGAAATTAAATAATTCAAAACTTACTAAAGAAAGAAAGAAAGAAAGAGAGAGAGAGTTGGACAGACAGACGGACAGATGTATGGATGGAAATAATAATAATAATAATAATGCAGAAAATAAATAATAATGTTTATTAAAAAACAATAAATAAATAAATAAGAAAGAAAGAAAAGTAGGTAGGTAGGTAGACAGACAGACAGATGGAAATAATAATAATAATAATAATAATAATAATAATAATAATAATAATGCCGAAAATAAAGAATAATGTTTATTAAAAATAAATAAATAAGAAAGAGATGGATGGATGGAAGGAAGGAAGGAAGGAAGGAAAAAAAGAAAGAAAGCAATAAAGAAAGAGATGGATGGATGGATAGATAATGCAGAAAATAAAGAATAATATTATGGATGGATGGATGGATGGATGGATAGATAGATAGAAAGAGAGAAAAATACTGGGCAAAATTATGAAGAGAAAGATTAATAGTTAATTTTGTCAACATTTAGCAGTAAACTATGACATGGAGTAAAAGCCACACAACTCTAATTTTGATTTTGTTGGGCATTTAACGAGTCATGTAATAGAAACTGACTCATACCTTCATTTTCAATGGTGTCCACTGCATTGTTCACCAGTCGTATCACCGTCACTATGGAGGCTAGGGCATAACCAAATGTAAAATGCCAGGCAACAATTGAATCAATGATCAAACACTTCAAACAAACATCAAACACGGAATGAAAACCTTACATAAGCATTTCTATAAACCACTATGACCCATCTGTAATCCTCCAGCATCATGAAATCTGCTAAACAGAAGCAAGTGGACCTCTGATGTGTCAGTCTGGCATCTATTTTGTACAGCCGAAGTGATACTACACTACTGAGTCATGATAGCAATGGCGTTTGGAGAGCATATCAAAGGTAGATGGATTGTAATTACTGCACTGACCTATTCAGGATGTCACTTTGTTAAAGCAGGGTAGGGTTATTACTAATCCTCATGATTTCCTTTTGGAAAGATCAGACAACGCAAGTCATCTTAATTAGGTGAATGGAATAATCAGTTACCTCTGCCTGAGATTAGGTCATTATAATACAGGTGGGTGCGTGAGAGTTTATGTACAGTATATGTTAATGTGATAATGTTGCATGTGTGTGTGTGTGTTTTTAATCAGGTCTTTTTAGTATATAAATGCAGGAAGTGACTCAAATTGGAGTTAAATGTCAGTCTGTCCAGCACTCAAAGCTATCATATGACTTCAGAAGACTTGTTCTTTTGTGGTGCTTTTTTCCTTATTTATGCATTTATTGTGAAAATAAATGTGAAACAGAGCTGAAAAAGAAACAGAAATATCAACAAAACACTATAAAAAAGGCTAAATGTGTTTATTATAATGAGTTTGTGGATATTATTATTTTACGTTTTTAAATTATACGTTTTTTAATAATGTTCTGTAATTGTTAATAATTAAAAATCTAAGACCTTGCAGTTTAGGCATAAGATGCCATTAAAGGGGTCATTCAATGGAGAAGCAAAATGGTCTTAAAGGGGTCATTTGATGCGATTTCAATTTTTACTTTCTCTTTGGAGGTGAGGGGCGTAACATTTCCGACTCGCGGTTGAGGTATTCGGCCAATCACAACGCATTGGATAGCTGGCCAATCAGAGCACACCTCGCTTTTCAGACCGATTAGTTTTGTAAAAATCGACGCGTTTCAAAAAGGCGGGGCATAGAGGAGAAACAATAATGTACAGTATGTGGAAAATAATGTGTTTATTTAACTTTAAACCGCATAAACACATTTCATTACACCAAATACACAAGATAATGTTCTTTTTAGCAGCATCATATGACCCCTTTAATATTTACACATATGAGAGGTTACTCTACAGTTAAAAAATTGCAGGCTTGGTCTAATGATTTTTGTGGGACCATATGGGATTTGGAAATGTTTATGTAAGGTTACAGTAATGGTTAAAACATGACAGGATAAGATGCTTTAAAAAGTCCACCTTAAAAGCCATTTGCTAAACTTTTCTATAGTTAAACTTTAAATATTCTTTGAGCAGAGAAAGTTTTCGGAGGTTGTTTGGAGGGTATGTTAAGGACTTTGGGTCTTGCAATGCATGTTTCTCACCGTTGTCGTCGCAGGAATCGGACTGGAAGGACCTGAGGGAGTGCGCCTCGCTCGTGCTGCTGTCGGAGAAGCAGGTGACCTCTTCTGGTGCATTTCCAGCTTCTGCAGAAGAATACAATAGCAGATTCTTATACAGATCCACACACATGGAAATGCATGCAGCTGTGCTATACATTCACACTATACAATCACTCTATACAGTACACACAGCAGGGCTCAACAATAGGGATGGTTTAGGGCCAGCATGAGAGTTGTCACGATATCTTTTTCATAATTTTCCAGCTAAAGTGTTTATGAATGTATAAATGTCATGGAGCTGAACAATTTCCAGCCATTATGCACAATAAACACTAATAAAATTGTTTTAACTTTATATTTAAAAAAACGATACGTTATATTTATTTATATATATATACTGTATACATATTCAATGTACACTGTCTAAGTTCATGTTTTTTTGTGAGTTATAATAGCTTCCACTGTTTCCACTTACCTTATCTGATATGAATACCAATCATTATGACTAATATCAGAGTTACCAAACTTTTGTAACATTATTTTAAAACCATTCATTTAACAAGTGAAAACAGCAGCACACAACAACAACAAAATGCATATTTTTCAGATATGCATCTCTTTTTGTTATTTATATATATATACTGTATATATATATATATATATATATATAAAATTTATATATATTTACACTACCGTTTACATTTTTTGAAAAACTGGGGGTCAGTAATATTTTTTATGTCTTTGAAAGAAGTCTCTTATGCTAAGGCTGCATTAATTTAATGAAAAATACCGCAAAAACAATATATTAATAAGTAATAGTGTGAAATGTTATTACAATTTTAAAATAACTGTTTTCGATTTTAACAATCTTTAACTTGTAATTTATTCCTATGATGGCAAAGCTGCATTTCCAACAGCCATAATTCCAGTCTCCAGTGTCACATGATCCTTCAGAAATCAGTCTAATATGTTGATTTGCTGTTCAAGAAGCATTTTGTCACGGATGCACTGCTGAGCGGACTGAGGAGCAAGGAACGGAGAGAGACGAGGAGTACATCAATCCAACTGGGTTTAATTGACACAACGGAACATGGAACACTCACGCTATACATAATGACATGAACAATACCGGACCCTGGAGCACACACAGGGAACCCTATTTATACACACAGGAGGAGGGGATGACGAGACACACCTGGGAGCAATGAAACATCAAGGGAAACACCTGGGACAAATTAAACATGGGAAAGGAAGGCACATGAGGAGCAAAACAACCACAAAACACGGAACAGAGTCTGACATAACGCCCCCCTCCGGAAGGCGTGTCCTCACGCCATATAACATCCAATGGGGAGGGGGGGATGGGCACTCTGGAGGTCCCTCAGGACAGACACGGGACAGTGGGCCTCCAGAGCGGTACCCGTTCGGGGTGCCAGCAGGGGACTCAGGAGGCCATGGCGGATCCGGGGACTTGGGAGGCCAAGGCGGATCCTGGGACTCGGGAGGCCATGGCGGAGCAGGGGAATCGGGAGGCCAAGGCGGATCTGGGGACTCCGGAGGCCACGGCTTGCCACATTAACTGCCGGCTGACTTGGGGAAGCCGCGGACGGCGGCGGACTGGTTCTGGCTCGGGACCGGACACTCCCCAGACACCGGAAGACACCTTCCCTCCAAGTTAGTCCAGTGGTGTCTGGGAGGTCCACGGGGCGATGGTAGTGGGCCCCGAGCCAGAACAGCTGATTGAGGACGGCGTCCCCTAACGCCGTCACCTCAGCGAGCTTGCAGAACTCCCGGGCGTACTCGTAGAAGGGGAGATTGCGGCGAGCTCGGGCAGCGAGGCGAGCGGCAATTTCCATCGCCGCGAGGAAAAAGTCGCCGCTCACTTTCGGTTTTGGGTCCGGTATTCTGTCACGGGTGCACTGCTGAGCGGACTGAGGAGCAAGGAACGGAGAGAGACGAGGAGTACATCAATCCAACTGGGTTTAATTGACACAACGGAACATGGAACACTCACGCTATACATAATGACATGAACAATACCGGACCCTGGAGCACACACAGGGAACCCTATTTATACACACAGGAGGAGGGGATGACGAGACACACCTGGGAGCAATGAAACATCAAGGGAAACACCTGGGACAAATTAAACATGGGAAAGGAAGGCACATGAGGAGCAAAACAACCACAAAACACGGAACAGAGTCTGACACATTTCTTATTATTTTTCACCACTGAAAACAGTTGTGTTGTTTAATGTGTTTGTGTCTTTATGGTCACTTTTGAACGAACTAAAAAATATTTTTTAAGCCAGTGAAAATACTGCCATGTCGAGTCTGAACTACTGGCCCATTTGCATTCACTAAACAGACATCTAATATCCAAAAACCAGACATGCACATACGCACAAACAAAATCGCATTTACAGCTTAATACTCTCTACGGCATAAAAATCTTTCAAATCTGCTAAAGTGAAAGAGCAATAATATCCGTCCTATATTTATCCCAGACTACGCGCTGCAAAAGCTAACAACCAGTCCATGACAAATTAATTTCTGCTTGAAGAAAACACTAACAAGACCAAGGTCATCCACTTGAGAACACAAATCGAAGAGAAAATTTACATAGGTAATGCATTTCCACAAGCGGAAGTGTAATAATCACCTTCACATATGTACTAGCTGCCAACCTACATGGCCAGACTGTTAAATATTTTATTAGGAGAAAGGTTCCTGTTGGCCTATTTTGTGCTACGATACAGCACAGCAGATGGTTCTGATTACTATAATCTGGTTTGTTGTAAAACTATTTTTGAGTCCCTGGTCAATTTTCAAGATATGAAAAATCGCAAGAATGCTGAATATGAAATCATAAAAAAGAAACTCATTGTGAAGGGAGATTTGATTAAAACCCAGTTTTTTTTTTATATACATTATTGCAATTAACGCATTATGCATAGCATTTATCACAATGTGGATGGATGTTTCTGTTTGAATCTTGAAGATTCACTCTAAATGCTTTACTTTCTCCTTTTGTGTGAAACCCTCGTGTTATCTCTAAGGTAATTACACTCCATCACACATTATTGTAAGATGGATTTTCCAAATGGAGACTGTGGTGCATATGTATAATCTCATCCACACAAAGACTGGCATTTAATTGGCCACGGGGAGTTACGGAGTCACGCTGAAACGCTGCCGTTTTGTCATCCTCCGTTTGATTTGGGATGAGTAGAAAGTGTGTGTGCCAAATCATTACCCTCGGTTCTGTACGCTTCCTCTGCGTCCGCCTGATAACCCCTGTCTTCCCACTCCAGAGCTTGGACTTGATGCTCCATAGCATTATCCTCATCGTCGTCCTCTTCCCACGGAGGCTTGCGGATTGGGCTGCGTTCGGACGGGTTCGAGGACAAAGACTGGGGAAGATTGGGCGCCACGCTGCAGACGGCCACACCTCTCCGCGGCATCCCGAGGATGTGTGGCGGCTCCGCCTGGAAAGTGCTCATCTGCGGAGGGCAGGAGAGGGTGGCCAGCCCTCCCTCCGTCTTTTCCGTTTCCCCTCGAGGAATTCCCTGGCAGTGGGGAAGCGTGTAGGCTGTGGGCCGCACCATGACCTGCGGCGGCCCTCCTGCGCTGTCGTTCCGGTAGAGGCTGGCGCGACACTCGCCGCTGACCCGTACAGCTTTGAACTCGATGCCCTCCGCTCCCATGCCCGTGTTATGCAGCATGTAGTTGGTCTCTGTGGAGATTCCCACCGCCTCCCCGCGGCTCCAGTCCTTCCGGAGGACTTTTTTGCGGAACACGGCCAGCAGGGTCAGCAGGACCAACACCACAAAGAGCAACACGCCGATGCCGATGATCTCTCCCGGTCCGACGTACGACAGGGCCCCGGCCTGAGTGTCTGGGCCATCCAGAGACGGCTGGCCACAAAATTGACCCTCGAAACCAATGGTGCAGTTACAGTAGAAGGCTCCGAATGTGTTCACACATGCCCCTCCATTCTCACACTCCTCCCTCTCACACTCGTTCACATCCTCGTCGCATCTGTGGACAGAAGGATTGTGTCAGACTGTTGGGAATTAAATACTAGCTTACTATTTACTGTATACTGTACAGTATACACTGCATTCTATTCTTTAAAGCATTGGTCTCAAACTCAATTCCTGGAGGGCCACAGCTCTGCACATTTTAGCTCCAACCCAAATCAAACAAACCCGATCACACACAGCTAATCAAGCTCTTTAGGATTACTAGGAACTTCCAAGCAGGTGTGAGTTGGACCTGGTTGGAGCTAAACTCTGCAGAGCTGTGGCCCTCCAGGAACTGAGTTGAGACCCCTGAAAGGGATACATACTCCAGGAAAAAATATATATATATTCACCCTTGAACCGTCCTAGATGTATTTGACTTTCTTTTTTAGACAAACAGGTATCGAGTTCTAGGTATCTACACTATTGTTCAAAAGTTTGGGGTCAGTAAGATTTTTTTTGTGTTTTTGAAAGAATTCTGTTATGCCCACTGTGGTTGCATTTATTTGATCAAAAATACAGTAAAACTGTAATATTGAAAAAAAAAATTATTAGCATTTAAATTAACTGTTTTTTATTTTGTAATTTATTCCTGTGAAGCTGAATTTTCAGCAGTCATTACTCCAGTCTCCAGTGTCACATGATCCTTTAGAAATCATTTTAATATGCTCATTAGAAATAATTTCTAATGTTGAATTTTTTTCAATAATTCAAAAGAACAGCATTTATCAGAAAAAAAAAAATTTTGAAAAGGTCTTTACTATCATTTAAAGCATTGGTCTCAAACTCAATTCCTGGAGGGCCACAGCTCTGCACATTTTAGCTCCAACCCAAATCAAACAAACCCGATCACACACAGCTAATCAAGCTCTTTAGGATTACTAGGAACTGCCAAGCAGGTGTGAGTTGGACCTGGTTGGAGCTAAACTCTGCAGAGCTGTGGCCCTCCAGGAACTGAGTTGAGACCCCTGCTTTAAAGGGATACTCCAGGAAAAAATATATATATATTCACCCTTGAACCGTCCTAGATGTATTTGACTTTCTTTTTTAGACAAACAGGTATCGAGTTCTAGGTATCTACACTATTGTTCAAAAGTTTGGGGTCAGTAAGATTTTTTTTGTGTTTTTGAAAGAATTCTGTTATGCCCACTGTGGTTGCATTTATTTGATCAAAAATACAGTAAAACTGTAATATTGAAAAAAAAAATTATTAGCATTTAAATTAACTGTTTTTTATTTTGTAATTTATTCCTGTGAAGCTGAATTTTCAGCAGTCATTACTCCAGTCTCCAGTGTCACATGATCCTTTAGAAATCATTTTAATATGCTCATTAGAAATAATTTCTAATGTTGAATTTTTTTCAATAATTCAAAAGAACAGCATTTATCAGAAAAAAAAAAATTTTGAAAAGGTCTTTACTATCACTTTTAATCAATTTAATGCATCCTTGTTTACACACTATAAACACTATCCCACACTATAAACTGCATGAATAATAAGAATATTGTTATTCTGAACACAGCCTTAGTGTTTCTCTCATTATCTAATTAGTTCTCAGAAGCAGAGAGAAAGAGGTTTCTTGTTGCCTTTTAAGATTCATAAATTTTCACATTTAGCTGAATTCCCCTCTGTGCTGCAAACAGCAAATATGTGAGGAGCTGTTGCTCAGAGAACTCTTTATACGTACCCTTGAGTACGAGAAAGTTCAACGAATCTCTCAAGCGAGCATAAGAGAGCATAATGAGAGGGTTGTTTGTATTGCGTAACGTAATGACACAGCTGATAAAGCAGAGAAAGTAGTTATGTAGTAGTTATATAAAGCTATTCGATTTTCATTACTTTCTCCCCACTACATAAAAGGACAGAGAGGAAAGGGGCACAGGTCCCAGTATCCCACTTTTCTCAGTCAGTTGTTTAAGTATAGGTTTAGATTTGCCTCTAAAAAGAAACAACAGCATCCTCTAGTGGAGAAATAACTGAATGACTGAATAACTGCATAGAAAAAAATATATTAGAGAAGCCTTAATGGGATTTTTGATGGACTGCTCTAAAATCTGTTCTTTATTTATTAAATGATTTTAGTCATTAGTGAGAAAGGTCTAATTAACACAAGCAAACAACATACCTATTTTACAGTGTCACGTATGTATTCAACCAGCAGTTCAAACAATCAAGGTCTGAGCAGGTGAACGCTAAGTGTAATGACTTTCAGAAGAGAGTGTAATTAAAATAAGCTGCTGGTTACCAATTCTGTTTAAATGCAAGATGGCCTTACCGAACAGATTTCAGAAGAAAAACTATTTTTCCTCATAAATGACATTGACTGTTAAACCATTTGATTGCAAAAAAAAATGGCCCCTTAAATGTTTTGCTTTTGTTAAGCAAGACTCTATGATTATGTTTTAATAGAAGATAAACATAAAAACCATGTCTGAGCAATTACAACTCAAAGCAATTTAAAAAATGAAAATATAAAAATCATTAGCACAGTTGTGATTGTTTTTGATTGTCAAAAGAAAATATATTTTTTACAAATTTAAAATAAAATAAAACAGCTTTTAATGTTAACCAATCACTTTTTGGTGATTAGAGGCCATATTAACTGTCAAATACAATAAAACCAACTTTTCAAAACATTTCACCTCTACAAACCTCATTTTCAAAAAAAAGTGATTGTTGACTAATTATATTCAATCAATTACCATATATAGTGTGTGTGTGCGTGTATACTATAATATATATATATATATTCATTTTAAAATGTACTGAAGAATGGTTAGAATTGCCCATTTTTTTAATGAGACAATCTACTGGGTAACACCAATAAAATAATATGTATATGTATTGATATATATTTAAAACATATGGAAATATGTATAAATTACCAAATCTCAATGTCTAGGAGCTAATTATTTTTGTCAAGTTATTTTCAAAATAACTGATTGGCATTAATCATATTTTAAGAGTATATATTACATACAATATATTACATACATTTATATTTTTTCACATGAAAATTACTAAAATAATAGTACCTACTGTGTAGTCCTTCTAGAGAAATTGACATTTTTACTTGATGTCTTATGTGTTATCATTTGTCTCAGTTACTACCAAACTGTCTGTGGTGTGACATCTTAAAAGTTATAAAGGTCTGAAATGTATGCAAGATTAATGGTAAATCCTACAAATAGAATATAATGAAATAAAATGTCTCACATGAGTCCCGTAAAGCCTTTGAGGCAACCGCAGAGGAAGGTGTTTCCCACAGCCTTACAATCACCCCCATTCTGACAAGGTGAGGGCACACAGGACGTCACCTCCATCTCACAGCGGGACCCCGTGAACTGTGGCAGGCAGCTGCATGAGAAGTCTGGGGACAAATTCAAAGAGAAACAAGACTTCTAAGACAGAGCTAATACAGAGCTAAGGACTAAAATCTGAACATCTGACCGTTATTGATGCATTGATGGTTATATGCGCTTTCTATTTCTCACCACCAGAGGGCAGCTTTGTACAAGAAGCTCCATTCTGGCACGGTCCTCCGAGGCACGGATCAGGGTATAAAACACATCCCAGCTTCAGGTCACTCAGCCCAGCTATCTCTGCATACCGGCTCCTCTTATTCTGAAGAGGGAGTTCATTCCCGTTGAGCATGATGGACCCGAGGCACCCCTGGAAGCCTTCTTGCGCCCGTGGGGGCCTCTGGCTGCCTCTGCCCACTGGTCCGTGCAACACCTGAGCCCCAAAGAACAGCGATCCGTCTGCGGCCAGGGGCCAGATGCGGACAGGGGCCCGCGCAGAACGCCGGCGCTCCACATAGCTGTCGTCCAGCGAAAGGAGAGTGTAGTTACTAGTGAGCTCCAGGGTCACGGCGTGCCAGGACCCATCATTGATTGGACGCCCTGAGATGCCCAGGATGTCCAGTCTGTTGTCACAGTCCATCTGGAACCACAGACGCCCTTCCTCTATCTGAACAAACACAAATATACAACCACTCACTAGAGCAAACACAATTGCACAGACAGCTCTTTATATTATATAATATATATATATAATATTTTTAAACTATTATTTTTTTTACATAATATTGTGTACTATTGTAATATTGTGTACCATAATGTCATTATTGTATTTGGTTTACTTGAACAAGAAAACCAGTAAAAACAATGATTTTTATTGATGAAATTAACATAAATTGTAAGTACCTACAATGACATGTACTTAATAATGCCCCCCAAAATTAAATATGACATACATATATAGATACACTACCATTCAATAGTTCAGGGGCTAGAGAATTTCACGGATACGGTACAAAATAGTTAGGTTTAAAAACATTATAAATTATATTGATTAGATGTCATTTTTATTGTAGGTGGGGGGAGTGAATGTACATCGCTCTCTTCCACCTTCAGTACCACGACTGAGGTGCCCTTGGCACCGAACCCCCAACTGCTCCCCGGGCGCCGCAGCATAAAGGGCTGCCCACTGCTCCGGGTGTGTGTTCACGGTGTGTGTGTGTGTTCACTGCTGTGTGTGTGCACTTAGGATGGGTTAAATGCAGAGCACTAATTCCTAGTATGGGTAACCATACTTGGCCACATGTCACGTCACTTTTTAGGTTAGTTAAATTTATTTATTCTTTTTTTTTTTAAGAAAAAAATCAATTCTTTGATTTAGCAAGGACACTGTTCAAAGATCCTAAAACAGTTTGCACAAAAATGTAAATAAAAAAGCAGCACAACTGTTTTCAATGTTTTCAACATTGATAATAAGAAAGAAATGTTTCTTGAGCAGCAAATCAGCATAATAGAATGATTTCTGAAGGATCATGTGACACTGAAGACTGGAGTAATGATGATGAAAATTCAGCTTTGCATCACAGGAATAATTTGCATAACATAGAATACACTTATTTTAAATTGTAATAATATTTCACAATATTGCTGTTTTTACTGTATTTTTTATCAAATAAATAATCCTTGGTGAGCATAAGAGACTTCTTTCAAAAACATTAAAAAACTCCTACCAACTCTAGACTTTTGAACGGTAGTAAAATTGTACTTAATAATGTGTATATAATCTAATGTAATGATGTAGAAAATAATAGTTTAAATCATATCTCTGTATCCATCTGACCTTGAGCAGTGTGCAGGGGTCAGCGCGTGTGTACATGATGACTCCTTGGCTGTGCAGCGTTCTGATTCTCAAGCCCAGCTTCATGTCTCTGCTCCTATCACTGTCCGTCACTCTGTATTTGATGTAACTGTTCCCTGCAAAGCTCAGAGATGTTTGGCCTGCCAGCACAGGTACAGAAATCAGTCAGTCAAGGGCTAACACCATATTTCAAAATCTGCTATTTATACATACTTTCACAAAAGATATTCGCACAAGTGTTTGGCCTCAATCACGTATGAAGAAATGTCATTTAAATATATATGTCTGACACACCCTCAGGATATTCCACAAGAGGGAACCGTTATTTTGAAGGGAAATGAATGTTTACGTAACTTTTGCCCACCATATCAAGCTAAAGGAAAATGCATTCTGAATTTTTGTCATGTATTAGTAGTGACACACTTGGAGCTGCCTGAGGGGCTCAAAATAAACATTTCTATATGGCATCACTTGTATTATATCATGCTATATGGTTTTCCCCAAAGTAAAAGCATGTTTTGGTAAGAACAAAATGTCTGTAGACATCCATTGCAACAAATTTGCCTTACATATCCAATGTTTTCATGCATGCATCAATCCCCATTTGATTTCAAATGATTAAAAATATTATGCAGTAACAGACTTTTTTTGTATGTTTTGAAATTTTCGAATATTTAAATAAATGCACTTGAATTTTAAGACAATGTTTATTAGGTGAATCTCTATTCTCTATTCTCTATACTAATTTATAACTAAATTATTACATAAATAAATATATGTGATATATGTTATTTTTAATTTTGTATTTGCAATCAAAATTATTTTTTTACATCTTCCCTCAAATGCTGCAATTAAATGTGAAAAAGCATTTGAATATTTACCAGCTTACATGTGTTGAAAGTGTTGCAAACCCTCTTTTTGAAATATAAAATGTTGCTTTACCCAACATTATACATGGCCTCAAACCAGGGTTTAAAAGGAGCAGCGTGAAAAGCCCATTTGATCTAACCTGCGCACTTGTCCAGCGTGTCAGGCAGACACTGGCAGAAAGATGGCGCTGCAGGGCCGCTGCGCACACACTGCATGTCAGACGGACACGTTTGGCCATCGCAAAGCTCCAGAGAAGATGGACATATTCCTCCTGCAGTGGGTACAAAAAGTTAGAAAGCAAGCAAATGGAAATTCTGCCACTCAAGCTACTGTTTGAATTTAATCAACCAGGATAAATAATGCATACTATGAAATGCCTCCTACAATAAACAGGGTTGCCAAATTTGGTTACCTGGCTGGAGTGAGATTTTGATGGAATGGGCAGATCAATTACAGGCACCTATTTGAGGTTTTGAGGAGGCAACAATTCATTTTTTATTTTATCTTAATACTTAAGGTTACTGTAGTACAGTTTATATTAAATTTTCAATACTGAAATGCATGCTGTTTACCTACCTAATGTTTTAGAGGGGCACCAGTAAGTATTATTAATAATAATAATGCTCATCATTTGCGGATAATTTGGGCAATATTTACTCAAAAACTGATTGAAAGAAAAAAAGTTGATAAAAAAAAGACTGAATCCAATATTAGGTAATAATATAGCATAAGGAGAAATGTATATGCAATATGCCAAAAGTGTAACGTTTTAGGTAGGCGTGGCTGACTCTTAACTTTTAAAAAGAATATCTCTTTGGATTTGAGACTTTAGTCTTTGCAACTTTACAGATCTTCTTTATGCACCAAGAGCTTATAACACTCCAAAGAAAAAGGAAAACTTGAAATCGCATCATATGACCCCTTTAAGGTTAGCATGAGAACCTGAAAGCATGTGTCTCACGCCAATTGTTTGAGATCTGGCAACCCTGGAATAAATCTGAATCAGTTTTGCCAGTTTTATCATTTGAGACAAAATCAAATTGCTAACCTGGACACGTGCACATCTCTATCCTGCTGAAGCATGGAGACACAAAGCTCACTCTGGAGGTGGTGTAGGTGACCAAGCCGATGGGGTCGAGGTTTTGAGGAGGCAACAATTCATTTTTTATTTTATCTTAATACTTAAGGTTACTGTAGTACAGTTTATATTAAATTTTCAATACTGAAATGCATGCTGTTTACCTACCTAATGTTTTAGAGGGGCACCAGTAAGTATTATTAATAATAATAATGCTCATCATTTGCGGATAATTTGGGCAATATTTACTCAAAAACTGATTGAAAGAAAAAAAGTTGATAAAAAAAAGACTGAATCCAATATTAGGTAATAATATAAACTGATTGAAAGAAAACAAGTTGATAAAAAAAAGACTGAATCCAATATTAGGTAATAATATAGCATAAGGAGAAATGTATATGCAATATGCCAAAAGTGTAACTAGGTGGAGGGGGAAAAATCCTCAAAAAAAGTACAAAAATTATCCAAAAAGAAAGAAGAGTGAAGTTGTTATACCCTGTGGGAGCAAAGTCAGCAGGTTTTAGTCTAATGCAATAAAATTAACTAGCATTTTTGGGGAAAAGAAAATCCTCTCCAGGACAGATAAATGACCAGAACACAACATGAGAGTTGAGATTCCATTATAGTTACTGTTCCTATAAAACATACTTTCTTGCGTAAATTTGATGTTCAACAACAATATTTGATGACATTTCTAATATTTAATCTAAATTATTGCTCATTTTTCTCTGTTCTCTGCTTTATGTGTATTTGATGTTTAAAGTTAGCTGCTATTCACTTGCTCTTATGTTTTGTGAAATGGAAATATGCGCCTGACTTTGAAGTCATAACTTTTTCCCAGAATAAAGAATATAAGATTATAATGTAAGTCAAGCACATTTAGCATTTTCTTGTTATTTTCCCTGAGATGTATTAAAGGGGTCATATGATGCTATTTTAAAGATCATTATTTTGTGTATTTGGTGTAACAGAATATGTTGACATCAGGTGAGAACCTGAAAGCATGTGTCTCACGCCAATTGTTTGAGATCTGGCAACCCTGGAATAAATCTGAATCAGTTTTGCCAGTTTTATCATTTGAGACAAAATCAAATTGCTAACCTGGACACGTGCACATCTCTATCCTGCTGAAGCATGGAGACACAAAGCTCACTCTGGAGGTGGTGTAGGTGACCAAGCCGATGGGGTCGAGACTGAGGGTGAGCTCACAGACTCTCTCCCCGCACTCAAGCTCTCCTGAGCAGCTCTGATCCAAGACGCTGACCACCCTCAGCGCTCCCTTTAGGAAACCCTTCACCTCCTCCAGCTTGAGAGCCAGCTCTCCTGGACCCATATAACCCCCATCTGGTGTCTCCACAGCAAGGAGCACCTCCAGCTGACTGGAGCGACTCAGTGGCTGCACTCCCAGGATGTGAAGAGGGTCTGGTCCATCAATAACACCTGTCCCATCACCAACCAGTGAGGTACGGAGCACCTTCTTTAGCTCTTCCATGTACACACCCACAAAGTCCTCAGGGGACAGGTCTTGAAAATGCAGAGTCACTGCATTCTGCACCATCTCATCCGTGGCTTGCTCCACCTGGACGCAAATGCCCACGGTCACAGAAAACCGCCCATCACTGACTGTAGCATTTAGGGAGTATCTGAAAAAAAATGTTACTGAGCATTACTGATCATTAGGCAGCTATGCAAAAACATATATTTTATTCTATAAAATCTCAATTCTGAGAAGTTGCAGTTGTGACGAAAAAATCTGAATTATGAGAATTGTGACAAGATTGTTTCTGCCAAGGAATAAAATATTTTGACTTGACTTTTTAATCATACAATATCAGTTCAGTATCATATAATCTTTTTCAGAATTGTTTGACTTTTTCTCAGAAGTACAATAAAGAAAGTCAGAATTGTCAGATATAAACTCAAGTTGTAAAACATTTATTTATTTTAAATTCTGAGGTATAAATAAGCTTCCATAATTTGATGAAGAAGTTCACATTAAACAAATAACCTGGGAAGAATTTTACAATGCCTTCATTTATTCTGGCTATTTTTCAAATGCTTTATATATATATATATATATA